ATCAACCTACTTCAGCGCCTATTCCCCCACTACATTTCCTAACCTCCCAATTACACCTCCATTACAGCCCCTGTCCCCCACTATAGCCCCTAACCCCCTACTACAGCCCTGTTCCCTTACTCAGCCCCTGTCTACTGGCTTTAAAACTATAAAGTTTGTGTGTGTGTGTGTATTAGTATGTCTCTGTGTTAGTATGTCTGTCTGTGTGTGTCTGTGTGTCAGTATGTCTGTGTGTGTGTGCCAGTATGTCTGTCTGTCTGTGTGTGTGCCAGTATGTCTGTGTGTGTGTGTGTCAGTATGTCTGTCTGTATGAGTCAGTATGCCTGTAACAGTGTGTATGTCTGTCAGTGAGTGTGTGCGTGCTTGTTATTGTGTGTCAAATAAGCAAGTGTGTGTGTGTGCCTGTCAGTGAGTGTGTCTGTTTAGGTGACTGCCCCCCCTTTCAGTCACATGGGAAAGGTGTTTTTACTCACCTCTTGGTGCAATGGGCCACTTGACTGGATTTGACCCCCAGGCCTAAGGTTGCCAGCCCTCTCCTGATGGTAGATCTTGAATGCCATATGATCTGACACATAATAGGTGTTAGATAGCAGGGCTATATGCTTGAGTAAGTCTCTGCTCAGCCTTTTCCCAAACTTGGGGTATACAGAGGTGCTTTGCTGGGTTCAATTAAACAAAGGTGAGGCCAGACGTCCCAGTAGCTCCAGGCTTGTGCAGTGGCCTGCATCACTGATCCACAGACTTGATGGCTTGCCCAGTCCAAGTCCTTCCCATGAAAGGGATAGCAGATAATTGGTATGGTCTGTTGTTGTTTTTTGCGTAGGGTGCTCCACTGGTGTGGTCGATGCCTTTGGCCCAGGTGGTTTATATGACATGTGTCAGTTGCTTGCCGTGTCTTAGTGGCCCAGGGGAGCCAGCTGCCGTGTGTTTTTATTTTATTTAACCCCTTAGTGACAGACCGTTTTTCAATTTGTGTTTAGCTGTAGTTTTCCTCTTACTAAACACCCATGCTAAATAGTTTCTAAATTTTGTCCTGAGTTTAGAAATATGCAATGTTAACATGCTCTTAGCTTTTTTTCCCCCCTGGAGTTATTGGGCAATAAGTACAAATAGCACTTTGCTATTACCAAAACATTTTTTTTCAAAATGAATGCAAATTACATTGTAACACTGATATATGTCAGGAATCCTTGAATAACCCTTCACATGTATATATTTTTTTCACTGGCTGCTGTTTGCTGGCTGCTCCTGCTGGCTCCTGGCTCCTGCCTACCCCTCCCTGGTCTAGGGTAAGACTCAGGGAGGGGAGGAATACACTTTAGTTTTTTGACTTCACTGGCTGCTGTTTGCTGGCTGCTCCTGCTGGCTCCTGGCTCCTGCCTACCCCTCCCTGGTCTAGGGTAAGACTCAGGGAGGGGAGGAATACACTTTATTTTTTTTATTTTTTTATCCCCCTCCTCAGCCCCTGTCCCCTTCCTCAGCTCCTGTCCCCCTTCCTCTGCCCCATGCCGCCCCAACCACAGCCCCGATAACATCCTCACTACAGGTTCTCTCCCCCAATTGCAACCCATATCACCCACACTGCAGCCCCTTACCCAAATTGTAGCCATCAACCTACTTCAGCGCCTATTCCCCCCACTACATTTCCTAACCTCCCAATTACACCTCCATTACAGCCCCTGTCCCCCACTATAGCCCCTAACCCCCTACTACAGCCCTGTTCCCTTACTCAGCCCCTGTCTACTGGCTTTAAAACTATAAAGTTTGTGTGTGTGTGTGTATTAGTATGTCTGTGTGTTAGTATGTCTGTCTGTGTGTGTCTGTGTGTCAGTATGTCTGTGTGTGTGTGCCAGTATGTCTGTCTGTCTGTGTGTGTGCCAGTATGTCTGTGTGTGTGTGTGTCAGTATGTCTGTCTGTATGAGTCAGTATGCCTGTAACAGTGTGTATGTCTGTCAGTGAGTGTGTGCGTGCTTGTTATTGTGTGTCAAATAAGCAAGTGTGTGTGTGTGCCTGTCAGTGAGTGTGTCTGTTTAGGTGACTGCCCCCCCTTTCAGTCACATGGGAAAGGTGTTTTTACTCACCTCTTGGTGCAATGGGCCACTTGACTGGATTTGACCCCCAGGCCTAAGGTTGCCAGCCCTCTCCTGATGGTAGATCTTGAATGCCATATGATCTGACACATAATAGGTGTTAGATAGCAGGGCTATATGCTTGAGTAAGTCTCTGCTCAGCCTTTTCCCAAACTTGGGGTATACAGAGGTGCTTTGCTGGGTTCAATTAAACAAAGGTGAGGCCAGACGTCCCAGTAGCTCCAGGCTTGTGCAGTGGCCTGCATCACTGATCCACAGACTTGATGGCTTGCCCAGTCCAAGTCCTTCCCATGAAAGGGATAGCAGATAATTGGTATGGTCTGTTGTTGTTTTTTGCGTAGGGTGCTCCACTGGTGTGGTCGATGCCTTTGGCCCAGGTGGTTTATATGACATGTGTCAGTTGCTTGCCGTGTCTTAGTGGCCCAGGGGAGCCAGCTGCCGTGTGTTTTTATTTTATTTAACCCCTTAGTGACAGACCGTTTTTCAATTTGTGTTTAGCTGTAGTTTTCCTCTTACTAAACACCCATGCTAAATAGTTTCTAAATTTTGTCCTGAGTTTAGAAATATGCAATGTTAACATGCTCTTAGCTTTTTTTCCCCCCTGGAGTTATTGGGCAATAAGTACAAATAGCACTTTGCTATTACCAAAACATTTTTTTTCAAAATGAATGCAAATTACATTGTAACACTGATATATGTCAGGAATCCTTGAATAACCCTTCACATGTATATATTTTTTTCACTGGCTGCTGTTTGCTGGCTGCTCCTGCTGGCTCCTGGCTCCTGCCTACCCCTCCCTGGTCTAGGGTAAGACTCAGGGAGGGGAGGAATACACTTTAGTTTTTTGACTTCACTGGCTGCTGTTTGCTGGCTGCTCCTGCTGGCTCCTGGCTCCTGCCTACCCCTCCCTGGTCTAGGGTAAGACTCAGGGAGGGGAGGAATACACTTTAGTTTTTTGACTTCACTGGCTGCTGTTTGCTGGCTGCTCCTGCTGGCTCCTGGCTCCTGCCTACCCCTCCCTGGTCTAGGGTAAGACTCAGGGAGGGGAGGAATACACTTTATTTTTTTTATTTTTTTATCCCCCTCCTCAGCCCCTGTCCCCTTCCTCAGCTCCTGTCCCCCTTCCTCTGCCCCATGCCGCCCCAACCACAGCCCCGATAACATCCTCACTACAGGTTCTCTCCCCCAATTGCAACCCATATCACCCACACTGCAGCCCCTTACCCAAATTGTAGCCATCAACCTACTTCAGCGCCTATTCCCCCCACTACATTTCCTAACCTCCCAATTACACCTCCATTACAGCCCCTGTCCCCCACTATAGCCCCTAACCCCCTACTACAGCCCTGTTCCCTTACTCAGCCCCTGTCTACTGGCTTTAAAACTATAAAGTTTGTGTGTGTGTGTGTGTGTGTATTAGTATGTCTGTGTGTTAGTATGTCTGTCTGTGTGTGTCTGTGTGTCAGTATGTCTGTGTGTGTGTGCCAGTATGTCTGTCTGTCTGTGTGTGTGCCAGTATGTCTGTGTGTGTGTGTGTCAGTATGTCTGTCTGTATGAGTCAGTATGCCTGTAACAGTGTGTATGTCTGTCAGTGAGTGTGTGCGTGCTTGTTATTGTGTGTCAAATAAGCAAGTGTGTGTGTGTGCCTGTCAGTGAGTGTGTCTGTTTAGGTGACTGCCCCCCCTTTCAGTCACATGGGAAAGGTGTTTTTACTCACCTCTTGGTGCAATGGGCCACTTGACTGGATTTGACCCCCAGGCCTAAGGTTGCCAGCCCTCTCCTGATGGTAGATCTTGAATGCCATATGATCTGACACATAATAGGTGTTAGATAGCAGGGCTATATGCTTGAGTAAGTCTCTGCTCAGCCTTTTCCCAAACTTGGGGTATACAGAGGTGCTTTGCTGGGTTCAATTAAACAAAGGTGAGGCCAGACGTCCCAGTAGCTCCAGGCTTGTGCAGTGGCCTGCATCACTGATCCACAGACTTGATGGCTTGCCCAGTCCAAGTCCTTCCCATGAAAGGGATAGCAGATAATTGGTATGGTCTGTTGCTGTTTTTTGCGTAGGGTGCTCCACTGGTGTGGTCGATGCCTTTGGCCCAGGTGGTTTATATGACATGTGTCAGTTGCTTGCCGTGTCTTAGTGGCCCAGGGGAGCCAGCTGCCGTGTGTTTTTATTTTATTTAACCCCTTAGTGACAGACCGTTTTTCAATTTGTGTTTAGCTGTAGTTTTCCTCTTACTAAACACCCATGCTAAATAGTTTCTAAATTTTGTCCTGAGTTTAGAAATATGCAATGTTAACATGCTCTTAGCTTTTTTTCCCCCCTGGAGTTATTGGGCAATAAGTACAAATAGCACTTTGCTATTACCAAAACATTTTTTTTCAAAATGAATGCAAATTACATTGTAACACTGATATATGTCAGGAATCCTTGAATAACCCTTCACATGTATATATTTTTTTAAAAGAAGACAACCTAAGGTATTAAACTTTTTGACTCTTTTCATGCTACCATTTTACCAATCTATGCCAAATTAAAAAAAATAATAATAATTGGTGATTTTTTTGACACACATAGCAATTTAAGAATACATGTACTTAGAACTTTAAGTGTTACTGCCAAATAACACCCAATATGTATTCAGCAACATCTCCTGAGTACAGTGACACCCCACATGTATAGGTGTGTCAGGTTCAATGGGGGCTAAAAGACCTTATTTGGAGGGTGTGCATTCCAGTTTTCCGACTTGGAATTTCCACAGCTGGTCATCATGCACCCATGTCCTATTTGGGACATTTTTGAAGCTGGCCAATGTCATTTACCCCATCAAACCAGATATTCTTAAAAAGTAGACACTGATATTATCAGTATAATACATTTTTTTAGCTCTAAAACACTAATATTTGTGTAGAGTAATGTCTCATGAGTACAACAGTACCCCTCGAGTACAGGTTTTATGGTGATTTGGAAAGTCACAGGGTCAAACATAAGATTTGCCAATTTCTGTTTTTGTAAATTGCTATTTGCCAGATTAGCTATGTTGCCTTTGAGATGGTTTGGCAACCCAGAAATGGAGGAAGGGGTGAAAGAGAAGCACAGAGGGGCTTGTATGGGAGACAGAGAGACACACAGAGTCACTTGTGAGGGAGAAACACAGAGGAGTCTGGGGGGAAAGAGACACACAAAGGAGCTGGGAAGAGTAAGATACAAAGGGGTTTGGGGGAGTAAGACATGCAAAGGCGTTGGGAGGAAGTAAGACACACACAAGTGGCTTGTAAGAGATAAACCAAAGGGGGGTGTAAGACACAAAACTGAAAGAAAAAAAATATACAAAACAAAGTATATTAACAAAATAAATATAATAAAAATAAAGAGCTGCTCCCCTCTCAGCCCCTATCCTACACCACAAACCCTCTCTTTCACACTACACACATACACAATGCATCCTTACACATACACAGAAACACACAATGTATCCCTACACACACACACACATGCATAGAAACATACAATGCATCCCTACTCACACAGAAACACACAATGCTTTGCTTACACACACAGAAACACACAATGCATCCATTACACACAATGCATACCACACAGACACAATGCATACCTCACAGGCACAATGCATCCTAAGGGGGTGGGGGGTTAATGACAGGGTTGTGGGGGAGAGTGTGACAGGGTGAGTGACAGGGTGAGTGTGGCAGGGTTGTGTGGAAGAGTGTGACAGGGTTTGGGGTGTGTGGCACAGTTGGAGGACAGGATTGAAGGGGTTTATGTGGCAGGGTGAAGGGGGTGAGTGTGACAGCGCGAGAGAAGGTAAGAGCTTGAAGGCATTAGCTATGTCAGTATTATATAACCATTCTCCCCTGCCAACATTGATGATGGTAGCGATAGCATTGTCCACTTTAGCGTACTGAAGAGTAAAATCTCAGAACGGATTAGTGATTTAGACTAGGTGTGGTGGAGGAATGAGGAGCCGAAAAGTCGATTATTAAGCGTAGTTTATTCGAAAACTTTGCAGTAGCGATGCCCAGTGGGCTGGTGCTCCAGCTAGGGAAGGGAGGCGTTGTGAAAGGGCCAATCATGAAGCCTAGCTCGAGTTCTTTAGAGATAAGTAAAACATGGCTTGTGGGTTACTCAAAGCAGATTGGTGATTAGCATATTCGAGTGTCCCTGAAGGGATTGTGACTAATCCTGTGTGGAACCCGTGAGTGAACCCTTCAGTGATAAATCGAATTAGGTGAGGTACTGTGACAAACAGTGCTGCAAAGTAGTGACGTTAATCGGTGACAGTCATTGCCTAGGGAACAATCTATTTAAGCACATGATTTTTGCATGTGTCTGGAAACAGAGGGAGCAAACATGCAGCAATCTGCAGGCGCTGTACCTGCAGCCGCCAGCGTTAAAGTTGTTGCAAATCTGAGATTTGCCCAAAAAGACAATGGGTCTCCCCAACTTGTCTTTTAGGTCCCGTTGTATGGGCCTGACAGACTGGGGTACGGAGGCTTGGCTGGTGGATGGGAGCTCAGCGTGGTTGGGGCACAGATTTGTTGCGTGAGTAGATAACGAGCAAACTACACAAGCTGGAACTTTTAGACCGGCAAAATGCCTACAAAATAGTTATGTATCAAGAGAACTCCAGTCAATTTTAATGCTGAACTGGGCAAGTGCGGCGGCTGCTTTTGCGGAAAATGACTTATGATAGTCAAAAATGCAAATCCACCGTACTTATACCCGAGGTCGACCAGCTTGTGCAAGTACAAGTCGAACTCTTCACGTCTTTGGGGAAAAACGGAACATATTACATCCCTAAACAACCCAAAAGATAAAACAGATAGAACGTTTTTTGTTAAGCCTAGGGTCTCGTGCCTTCATAACAACAGACAAATCACCAAATGAGTAAGACTTGTTGTCGATGACATCCTGTGACTAGTGATGTCGCGAACATAAGATTTTCGGTTCGCGAACGGCGAACGCGAATTTCGGCAAATGTTCGCGAACCCGCGAACCGGGCGAACCGCCATAGACTTCAATAGACAGGCGAATTTTAAAACACACAAGATGTTTCAAGGGGACTAACACCTGGACTGTGGCATGCAAACTCCGATCCGCGGCTGCATCTTGCAGCAGCTTAGTAGATAACTCCCTAATTCCCACGGTATTAGGGAGTTATCTACTAAAAGGCTGAAAGACCTAAATTGGTCTTTCAGCCACATTTACTAATACTAAGTAAAGATTACTTAGTATTAGTAAATGATCTGCCCCTACTCGCTATGCAGCGAGTAGGGGCATGTCTAGTAAGCAGTGAGCAGCCAGTGGCTGCTCACTGTAAAAAAAACAAAACAAAACAAAAAACTATTGGCTCCCACCCCTGTGCAACGGGTGGGGGCCATTAATTACAATGGGGGGAGGCCCTACTGTCCTCCCCCCCGGCCCCCACCCCTGCGCGGTGGGTGGGGGCCATAAAAATAATGAGGGGGGGGACCTACTGTCCTCCCCCCTGGCCCCCACCCCTGAGCGGTGGGTGGGGGCCC